CGTGATGTACAGTGGGGGAAATAATTATATGATCTCCTGCTGAATTTGTATGTTTGCTCACTTACAAAGAAATGAACAGCCTCTCATTTTTTATGACAGTAAAATACATATTTGATCCTATACAACCCAGTCAGAACTCTGGCTGCCACAGATGGGCTGTGTAGTTGGTCACCAGGTTCACACACATCTCAGGAGGGATTTTTGCCCACTCTTCTTCACAGAAACTCCATCCGTTTGGTTGCTGGTTGGCAACTTGAAGCTTCAGCCCCCTTCACAGATTTGCCACTCTTTTGTTGCTTTGGCAGTATATTTTAGGTCATTGTCATGCTGAAAGACTGGTCCATGGTCAATCTTAAGCTTAAGCTTGGTGTTCTTTGGTTGATACTCAGCATTTCTCTTTGTCCAGAGTTGATGGGTGGAGTTGATTCCAAAAAGCTCAATTTTGGTTTAATCTGACATCACTTTATCTCAAGCCTTCTCTGAGTCATTTAGATGTTCAGGAACAAACTTCATACGGGTCTGTACGTGTGCCTTCTTGAGCATAGGAACTCTGCAGGTGCTGAAAGATTTCAATAAATGATGGCGTGGTGTGTTAGCAGTCATGTTTTTGGTGACTGTGGTACCAACTGCCTTCAGATAATTAAAAAACTCCTTGTACCTGATGTCCTTTGACAGCTCCTTGGTCTTCTCCAGTGGTGGACAGGTTGGCTTGGAAGAAATTGATTCTGTGGACAGTCGTGCTTTCTACAATGAAATTTTATTTATAAAGCGCTAAATCAACAGTTTCTTCAAGGTACTTCATATTGTAAGATAAAGACCCTACGAGAAGAATACAGAGAAAACCCCAGCATCGAAAATATTATTAATAAATGATCAGACAAAAGAGGCTTTTCAGGGAATAAATGTTCAGTTTATATGGCATATATCAGAACAAGATCCGGAGTGTGATTAAAGTGGTGGGTGGGCTCATTTACATTTTAAGAGAAGCCGATTGAGTCTAATAATAGATTGAATGCTATGTTGATGCTGTCATTTTGAGCATCTACATGGATGTTTTATTCACCCACAATAATTATTTTATCTGAACTGACCGTTAAATCAGATAAAAACAATAGATAACTACAAATAAAACTGTACTTGAGTTTTCCAGTTAGGTTGTACAAGGCTAAGAATCAGGCTTTCAGATATATTAAAACTCTGTCTTGGTCTGGGTCATAAATATAACTCATTGAGATCAGGACTATTTCTAATTCTTTAATTGACTGATTGATTGTAATCTTTGCAGGCACACAGCCTGTGGTAGTAGGGGCTCAAATGCCTATTTCACTCAGTGACATCCAAATCAATTTATAGCTCTTATGTAACATGTGGGGGGAGTTTTTCTGGGGTTTTTTTTTTGGTGTTTTCGCAACACGAATACAATAATTACAAGTATCCCACATATAATTATGTACCAGCATGTCACAGAAAAAAGCTCTTCAGCTGGGCCTATAAATCATTATTTTCACCATGGTACTAAAACCATTAACAACCCCAAATATATATTTATAAAACAGACTGGGAGAAGTCTGTACAGACCTTAGATTTACAGTAAATTAATCAAGATATAGTAAAACTCCTTCATGGACACACACACTGCTTCACCCTCTCCAGGTACGTGTTTCAATGTTAGCGGCCTTTCCTGCAGACACGAGAAGTTTCCACACCTAATCAGATGGAGAAGCGTCCTTCCACATCCCCCCAGAGTCCCATAAAATCTACAAACCTGCATAACATAATGATAACAAGGTGCTCCCGATCACAATAACTCACGGTTGTTACTGTAGTGCACTGACGGTTATCACCAAATTGGCACATCCATGTCAGTCGCTGCAAGTTATCTCAGTGGTGCTGGCAGCTTTTTTAAATCCATGTATCTTTTTATCTTTTTATACAACAACAAAAAAAAAAACGCCAGCAGATTTATCTTAAAATTTTCTAATTGATGAATGTGTTTGAAATGCATTTTTGGTCATGGCCAATAACTGGGGTTAACATTACTACATGTGGGTCACTGCTTCGCTTTAGCCGTGATGGATTCTCAATACTTTGCGTCATAGCAAGAAAATAGGCAACTTTGAAATTAGCAAATGGAAAAATCAGTTCTTTTTTAGGCTTTTGAAATGAAAATATGCTCCTGGTTTCATAATGTGGCCCTTGAACCCCGGAGGCTGCCATTTGTGACTTCTGCTTTATCTACTGCCAGTTTTGTGCCTCATACAGCTGTTTATGACACATGAATGTTGAATTTAGAAGACATAATGTTGGTTTTGGCTTCTCTTTACTCTTGAAGATGGGAGCTCAGATATATGTGAGACTTTCAGGAACAGGGCTTTACAATAAATGTGTCAGCCAGACGAGAGGCAGCCTTCTGAAACTGCGTATAGGCTGATGTTTTTACACAACGTTAAAATTAACAGCGGGAACTCAAACCACTTAACAATGTTTTGAGTTATCTGTGCTTTGGAACCTGGAAAAGGGATCCAGCAGGGAAAAAATACTCTCACTGTCACAAACAAGGATGCGGTGGACTCAAAAGCAGACTCAATTGGTCGAACTATGTATAATTTATTAGAAGGAACAAAAACGTGAACAGAACTGGGTTTAACAGAAACCATTCGCAGAAACTAAGGGAAATCCGTGGGCGGGGAAACAGGCGTAGAGCACAGGGAGAACTCGAACGGGAACTTTCTGTAAACACAGGAGAAGGGTGTTACTGAGTGACAAACGAGTAAGGGACAGAGGTATGGAGTGCCAGTGGATAGTCTTGGGCTTACTTGGAGACCCTGGTTATTAAGCGGGGGGAAAGGCTGCCATGGGAGCATTCCAGAGAGGATCGAGAGTGGGGAGAGTCCGGTCCAGATTCCAAAGAGGTGGAGAGTATGGACTGAAGGGCAGGCTGAGGAGAAGTTGTGTATGTGGTCCTTGGGTTCCGAGCAGACGGAAAAACAGGATGGAGACGGAACCAGCACTACTGGTGAGTGCGACGGGTGATGAATCTGAAGAATGCAGGAGACAGAAAACACATTAAACCATGATCCAGGTATACAGAGTCTGAGCACAGAGGAGGCCAAGTTTACCACAGATGGTAGCAGGACGAACTGGCGAGGAGTGGCAGGCAGTGCTGGCTTAAAAACCCTCTAGGTGGAGCCCCGGAGATTGAAAACAGGTGATGAGCTGGCCAACTCCACCCCAAAGGACGGATGACAGGAACCTGGACCATGCCCGACCAGACACTCCCACAGCATATGACACTCACATTCACTTTGGAAAAGTGACTGATGTTTCACACCAGAGACTGAAATCGTTAACAGGATAGGATGCCCCTAAAAAATAAAATAACTGTCGTTAAAGAGAGTATTATACTTTACACCGTGTATGTAGACCTGAATGCACTGCATTAAGTTCTGTCAGCTAATGGTGAGATATGAGATGAGTTCAATTTAAAAAGTAAATAACAAAAGGTTAATAACAAAGTAATTTTTACCCTTCAGGTTTAAAAGACTGATGGGTCAGGGTACCACGCTGCCTGGCAAGTTTATGAATACGATAACTCAAAAACAAGGGGACGTAGGAGTTTGAAATCTAGGGGTAGCACTGGCAGTATTCCAGTTTATTTTTCTTTTTATAATAAATATTTCATGAATACCAAATCAAAAGTCTAGTTAAGTTATATCATATTAACATTAAAGTTTAAAAAATGTGCAGCTATTAAAATTTACATTCTTCTAAATATATTTTTCAGTAAACATTTTAAACAACCACCTACAGTACCTTCAGGGACCACCAGGGGGCCACACTATGGGAAAAATTATATTTATCATGAAAGTACAAAATGGCTTCCTTCTGACCTTGACTGCTGTGTTTTTCACAGTAGGAATTGTATATGTCACAAAAGCTTGCATATAGTTAGTATATAGAAAGTATTTATGTTAACAAGACTGAAATAGGGAAATAGCCACATGCAGAAGTTCAGTTCAGAGACTGCATAGATACCAGTGCTTTTGTTCTTGCTGCAGCAAAGTAAAAAAAAAGGGGGAAGGCATTTTATGTTTATCCTGTGTTTAAGTGTCACAGTGTGAGCTGGGCAGGAGCTCTGCAGTAGGCTCCTGCCCAGTTTAACCCCAGGCTATAAGGAGACAAAAACTAAACAGAATGACTTCACACTCAAAAACAGATCCTGTGCAGATTTTTTTTGTTGATAGTGGAGTATTTTATGACAAAGAGTCTTAAATATTTTTCTTACATCATACTGAATTGTATTCAGATGCTTAACACCTGGATTAACAATCTGATTCTGTAGTTTTTAGCTCATCTAGCCAAAGGACTGAGCTTATGGCATGAAAAGGCATCCATGTGTCCATTTATCCACCACAGTAACACTGTAATCTTTACCTCACAGTGTAAAGAGCCTCGAGGCAGCTGTTGTTATGACTGATGCTATATAAATAAGCCTGAACTGAACTGAACTGTAGACGACCTTCTGCGACGAGATTATTTGTCAGAATTTTGTGAAACTTCCACACAGAGATTACCTTATCTCATATGTACTTTTTGCACAATGCTCAGTCTTTTGCACAACCTACTGTCATTGTTGCACTTTTCTGTGGCATTGTTGTGTCTGCACTGTCTTGAGTCTGTATCATTCTGTTCTGTTCTGTCTGGTGTTGCACTGTCTCCAAGACCATAGCACCATGGTCTTGGAGGAACGTTGTCTCGTTTCACTGTATACTGTACCACTGCACATGGCTGGAATAACAATAAAGCCACTTGACTTGAAATTACATGATAGATTGAAACATCACTTTGCCATAAATGTTCTACGATCTTAATGCTTGTGAAAGTGGAGGGAGTGTTCTTCCTATTGATCGACTCCAAGATTAGAACCTCGAAATCGTCCTGTCACTGTTAATATTGTCAGCAATGTGCTTAATGCTATGACCTGCTGATGCAATCACATATGTTCATGTTTTTGTGGTCATGGTTAGTTTCTTGACGTTCTTCTTCCTTTGGCTTTGCGATAACCACAGTGATTTGCCGACATCTCATCCTATCCCTACAATCTTCCTCCATCACACCAACCCTCTGTATGTCCTCCTTCACTCCATGAACCTTCTTTGTGGTCTTCTTGTCTTCCTGCTTGGCAGCTCCTCTTGAACATCTTTGTCCTTGAGATGAGACTCTTTTGTCATAACAGGAAAATACATGGGTAGAGGTACCTTTAGACTCTATCGGAAAAAGGTTGATTCTGTTTATCTGGACGTAGCGTTTTCAGTGGGAGAAACATTTTGTCACTCAACCAAGTGAGATTTACAGTGTCAGCTTACTGCAGGTTTCCTCCACCTTATAAACAGCACATTTCTATAATGACTGACACTAGCACCACTGATGAACAATGGGCTGTGAGGTCAGTTTCATTGTCGTTAATATGCAAATTGTCATGAATATTGATTAGCGGCCACTGCTCAATAACCATGAGTACCATTTTACAGAGAGTTGGAGAATGGTTGCAATCACAGCGTTGTAAGATGGTGAAAGATGTACCCTTAGGCCCTGTCCTCGATTCAGAGATGATCTTTCCCCTTTAAATGGCCTCCTTGACTCCCCGCTCAAACCAGCATTCCTCCCTGTCGAGGATACAAACACCCTCATCATTGTTAGCCAGTGGTGCTATAATTCAATGGGCCAAAAAAGACCTAAAAGTGTCTTTTTTGGCCCATTGAAATTTGAGGCAATGTATGAACATGAATATTTCAAAACTTATTAAAGATAAAGGCTGCTGTTTTTATCATCATCATCATCAAGAATGAGGAGCTAAAATTTTATCAAGAACAATGATAGACCATTGAAAATTTCAGGCTTTTATCGTTAATAGTTGTTGAGATATTCTTGTTCAAACACTGTTTCCAAGTGTGTGGAAAAAGGCCTGAAGGTGGGTCGACGAATCATTTTTTAAAAAGCATTTCATATTTCACAGCTATTTTTGTAAATATTCATATTTTGTACCATAACATTTTTATTGAAATCAAAGACTGTCAAACAGAAAACTTTGTTGATTAGAGACAGAATTACTCATGATAGGCCTCCGCTGTGCAGCCCAGTATCACTGTACAACAGATTACACAGCAGATATGGCTTTCATAAAGGAAACGGTTAAGTTAAGTTCCATTTGTTCTAACATTTATCATAACATTTGTATATAGTAAAATTAATTTCAAGTGTTTCTAAAATGTCAAAAAAAAATCAATGTGCAAGACTCACTGTTAAGTGCTTTTATCACTTTTTGCAGATTGCAGGCCTCCTCCCTACACTCAATATGGCTGTCCACCAACCATTCACCGTGTTTTGGCCCACAAACAAGGCCATGGAGTCCTTGCCACCTGAAAGGCAGCTCTGGCTCATCCACCCTTTACACCGGGACCGGCTGGCTGCCACCTTAAAGGCTCACATCATTCGCAACTCAAAGGTAGGAGGAGAATGACTGGATGAATAACGAAGTGTTCTTTTGGATAGAGCCGATTACGAATGGCAAAAAGAGATGTGTAGGGTTATAATCCAATTCAATATTATTTATACAATGCCAAATCACAACTGCCGCCTCAAGGCGCTTTTATATTGTAAGGTAGACCTAGAGCTGGGCAATATAAGATTTTTTCATATCACGATATGTTTTTTTCATTTCTGGCGATAACGATATCCATCACGATATAAGCCAAATAACTATATTTGTAAGATTTAAATGTGCCGTTGCTCACAAGTAAAATGTGAAATAATCAGCAGCTTGTTTTGATTTAAATATTTATTTCCCATAATAAGTTCAACAGGGTAGATGTACTTAAGGAACATGAGACTTTTTCAGATAAATAAAGGCAAATATTGCAAACTACACAAAAGGCAGCCGCTAAAGCGTCTAAGTTTCAAAATAGAACAAACGAAACAAACTAAACTGTCAATTCCACTTAGAAACAAAATATTAATTCTAAAAATAAATCTTAGTTTGTTTTACAGAAGAACAGACAAAACTGACTAACTTTTGTCAATATCAAATAAACTGAGAACTAAAAGGAAATTCTCAATCTCTCCTTGTTGTATAGCTTAGCTTTTCAAACAGTTTTAACAGTTACTTTAGTCTGACAAAAGCCGAATGACGAATTAGCGCTTCCAGTCAGAGATTGAGCATGCAAAGCTTCATTGTATTTCCAGACTTGCTTTCGGCACAATTTATAGTGCGCGCTGCTCTGTTTTTTGTCAGACTTGAAATAGCCGAAATACCTTCACACTACAGAACTTCTATGGCTCTTCCGTTCGACAATCTCTCCGGCATTGGAACCATCATCTGTTTTCTCTTCGGTAACCTTCGGTCACGCTCGGTTGATTTTTCTCTAGTCGGCACACTCATTTCCTCCATTACCCGGGCGGCATGGCGGCTGGCTGCTTCCCAAAACAAATACACATGTGCGGCTTGGCACTTGTGCTGTACGTAACAAGTCACGTGACGTGACGCTGCGGATGTGATTGGTTTGGCTCTGCGCTACTTAATTTGGATCGGCTGTTCTTTTTTTTTTTTTAAAGAGGACAAGAGAGACGAGGCCTATCGCAATAGTTTAACTTTTCTATCGAGGAAAAGTTATTTTGCAATACATATTGTTATCGTTCTATCGCCCAGCTCTAGGTAGACCCCTACAATAATACAACATAGAAAACCCCAAAAACCATACGACCCCCTTTGTAAGCACTTTGGCGATAGTGGGAAGGAAAACTCCCATTTAACTGGAAGAAACGTCCTCTAGAACCAGGCTCAGGGAGAGGCAGCTCATCTCTGTGCTTGTCCTGCTAGCGTTCAATACTGTTGACCATAATATTCTATTAGAAAGATTAGAGCACGCTGTAGGTATTACAGTTACTGCGCTGCAGTAGTTTGAATTTTATCTGTCTAATAGACTCCAGTTTGTTCATGTAAATGGAGATTCTTCTTCAAAAGCTGAGGGTTCAGTGCTAGGACCAATTATGTTTACATTATACATGCTTCCCTTAGGCAGTATCATTAGAAGGCATAGCATACATTTTCACTGCTGTGCAGATGACACACAACTTTATCTATCCATGAAGCCAGATAACACACACCATTTAGTTAAACTGCAGAAATGTCTTAAAGACATAAAGAAAATCTCTGTAGATGTGGATGTGAACATGAGCCCTGAATTGGCTAAGCCAAGAAAACGAATGAATTGCATTAATAAAGTAATAACATTCTCTTGATCTGCTTTTAGGGTTTGTATCAAAAGATGTTTAAGCACATATTTAATCAGAATCATTGACAATATTAAAGTGTTTCTAAACCTTTTCCTTTGAAGCATTATGCCTGTGTGTGTGTGTGTGTGTGTGTAGGTGACAAATGTTGGACTGCCGACTAAATTTTCATCCTTCCGCACGATGCATGGATCCACCATCAAGTTCAGCTGTGACCGGAGCCTGGTGGTGAGGAAACACACACACATAAACCAAATGAGTGGCCATTACTTCTTCCACACCTGGCAGTTAATTGTTGCTATATTAACTAGTGTTGCTACATGGTGAAAGCACTGTTCCCACAGGTTGGCTGATCAAACCTAGGACCTCTCCTGGGATTTGTTTCCTATAACTGACTAAAAATGTGCCTGGGTGGTGTGGCTCAGCATCTAGACATTGTTGGCTACAGGGGGAGCACCTTCTCTGCAACACTCAGTCTTTACGACCTCATGGCATGCAAGCGGGTCTGCTGAGGTTATCCACCTGAGGTGCTCCATGTGCCCCTGCTTGGGTCTTACCCATGACGGTGTGTGTGCTCTTGGTGTGGAAGAACTTGACTGGCCTCCACAGAGTCCTGACCTTAGCTTGACAGAACACCTTTGGGATGAATTAAACTGGAAACTGCGAGCTAGGATTTCTTGTCCAACATCAGTGTCTGACCTCACTAATCCACTTCTGGAAGAATGGTCAAAAATTCCTATAAACACATGCTCTTAAACCTTGCGGAAAGCGTTCCCAGAAGAGTTGAAGCTGTTATAGCTGCACAGGGTGGGCTGAGATCATATTAAACCCGAGTGAATACTTTTGGTTATATAGTGTATTGTGAATATTCACAAAACTCCTGTTGTTTGTTTTTACACCACCAACAAAATGATCATAACATCACTCTGTTGTCTCTACTGAATGGTTTCCATTTTAGTCTACTCTGTTATTGCTTAGTAGTTGTATTTTTTAAAAACGTGTGTGTCTGTCTTTAGGGTTCAGTAGTAATAAATGAAAATGAGGCCAAGGTAGTGGACCGCTACCTGAACTTCCAGAATGGCGTGGCCTATGGCATCGACCAGCTGCTGGAACCTGCTGGCCTCGGGGCATTCTGTGACACCATCGAGAACAAAACCACTTACGTGAGTAACACTAACAATGCTACCGCTTCAACACCAGTACCGCCACTGGGGGAGTCATTTTACTGTGTGCTCCAACAGCACTAGTAAATGCAGTGATGTAATTTACTAAAGAAATTATGTTGTTTATTTTCATCTGATTTTCAAAATTATAATCAAAAGGTTCTCAAAATAAAAAAAGAAATCTGTTTATTGGGTTCGTTAGTTTTGATTTAGACTGATTAGACAAGGCTAGGTAAAGTGTTTGTTACTGCAGGTAAAAAATTAAGCTAAACATAACAAATGGAAATGCTTATGTAAATGGTGAAACTTAACCTAAATTTAGAATGAATACAATAAATTAAGTATTATTTATATAGTATAGCTCCAAGTTCTGGTTCAGAGTAAGTAAGCAGGTAAGCAAGTCTCAGTTTCAGCTGTGGAGAGAAGACTTTGAACCACGGGTTTGACAGGTTGCAGCAAGAAAGCCATTGCTAAGACATCAGAATAAGACAAAGAGGCTTGCCTGGGCCATGAAACACTGCCATCGGACCACTGAAGGCTGAAAAAAAAAAGTTTTATGGACTGATGAATCATATTTTGAAATCTTCAGTTCATCACACAGGATCTTTGTATGCTGTCAGGTAGGCGAAAGGATGGTTCCACATCGTGTGGCATCAACTGTCAAACATCGACAAGGAAGTGTGGTTGTCTGGGGCTGTTTTTGCTGGATTCAGGGTCCATGATTTCTTTTTAAACTCAAATTGCTTATTTTACTATGCTTTCATTTCAGTGTGCAATGTGAAATTAAACTGCATAATCTTTAATAAAAAAATGGAATAAAAAATAGTTCTAAAATTTTTGACCAGTAGTGTATGCACAGAAAAGGAACAGAGACATATAGCAGATTAGTTAAAAGTTGAAATTATCCTTTAATTAAAACAGATTATCTTTGATCATAGGATTTATTTTAAAATTTAGGAAGCTAAATTGTTTATTAGCTTCTTCTTGTGTAGAGTAGGAATAGATCATACAATTGCCTCTGACCTTTAGCAACCAAGCTAACAACTAAGCTAAGCTTTGTTTCACTAAATTGTTGGGATTGAATAATGTGTAATTCCCAGGATGAGCGCCAGGTGAATAAACACCTGTCATGCGAAGGCTGTGTGCAGGCAGGAGTGGTGGTAAGGGGGACCCAAAGTACAGACTCCGGAGACAAACGTGAACTCAAAAAAAAAACCCAGCTGTAATGCTGAACGCAAAGTAACAAACTTCCAAATTACAAAGAATGTATGCATGCAGGCAGGCAGGCAGGCAGGCAGGCAGGCAGGCAGGCAGGCCACAAAGCATGAATGAGGGTAGATCGCAACACGGACAGATGAAAAGACAGGGCTTATATACACAGAGGGAGCAATCAGGGAATGAGAGACAGGAGGGAAACACAGCTGGAGAAATCAGGGCTGATGAGACAAAGGAAGCAAAACCAGACGCATTAACATGAGACACGGATTTTTAAAGTAAAACAGGAAACACAGACTGAACTTACAGACGCACAAGCAGGCACTGCAACAGAGGGAACAGAGACGTGGGACCAGGGCAGACACAGACACTGACTGGACACAGAATAGAGGGAGTAAGGAAACCAAAACTTCAGAACTAAATAATCACACACCAAGAAGAACTGGGGAAAAATAGAAATGCAAAACAGAAACCAAAACTTTCACAATAAACTAAGATGACAGCACAAATAAAAGGTACAAAACTAAAACCACTGGGTCAGCGACCCAGATATCCTAACAACACCAGAAAACTACAAAGGCTCTCACATTAGCATGTGCCCTGGTGGATTAAGTAGGGCTTTAACCCTGTTATCTCATGACAAATAATCATTATCTCACTTGTCTTAAATATTTCAGGGGCGCTGTGGAAGCTGCATCTTCACCCCGTCCTGTCCCTTCAAACACTATGACACGGTAAGGTCTGCTAAAGCATGTGAGCATTAGCTGCAAAGACTGTGGAGATAAATATCATTTCTGTATTCTTCCAGGAAAAGACGGAGCGCTGTTTGAACTTGCGCTCCAGGTATCGCTACTCATACTTGTATGATGACCTGGATCGTTTCAGCAGATATGGCTGTAGGAGAGTTTGTAGCTTTCCAGGCTGGGTACAGAAGTGCTGCAAAAACCACTTCGGGCGAGACTGTCAAGGTAAGAGGGGAAGGGAGGGAGGCACTTATGTGAGGAATTGTGCTTTTGTTTGTACAGAGATGTTCTTGGTTTTTGCAGCTTGTTTAAAGACTGAGTTACAAATTCTGAAAGTCACAGGCTTTAGTTTGGAAGTTGTTGAGTTTGTGTAGTTTTTATTGAAAGCATGTTTTCTCAAAGATATTAGTCACGCTTCTGGTTGACTAGATATTACTGATGCTTACTTAGTTTAATGTCCAAGTGAGAAAAATGTGGACTTACGGTCTTTCTAAACTGCTGTGAAAAAGTATTTGTCCCCTTCCTGATTTCACACTGCCATGTTTCAGATCAGGAATCAGATTTTAATATTAGACAAAGATAATAATAAGATACCAATACACGAGCAGAGATAAGAGATGGACACATGACAACTCACATCTACTGGACATGACACAAGACCACATCCATCCTTGGATGAACAATGCCTGATACAGATACGTGTTTAACACAACCAACCATATATGGGAAACACACTGTAACATGTGCACCAATTCTGATCTCTGATCACACTTTCAGAATGGCTTGTGTAAAGTGCACATAAACATCAACATCCTCATCCAGGAAGAAGCGCTCAGTCAAGAGACTGTTGATCGGCGTTGGAGTTTCCCTGGTTTTATTTTGCTTTTTCTTTATTTGTGTTATCCCTTGTTTAAAAGCTGTAATTTCACAGATGATAGCGACATCACTCACAGCATATGCAGATGTACCACAAACCGATGAGGATCATGAAGACTTCTTTTCCTATTTGTTAGATGAAGATGAAGTGCTACTAATGATGTAGTAACTGAAAATGTGAAAGACAAGTAGTTACTTACTGATAACATGTACATTTCATTTCGTGATAAAAAGGAGGGAATGTCAGAAGAAAATTGTACCTAGTGTGATCAGCTACATGAAATGTGCTCAATTTATGGATCACTAAGCAATCCACATGTCTACGTGACTGTTGACATAAACTCTTGTGTGATAAACTTATTTAGCAACTAACAGCTTCCTCTATGTTAAGAACATACAGACTTAGAAAAGGGGAACCTCAGCTCTGGGTTCTTAGAATAACTTTGTTATCTTTGTACACACATGTGACAAGCTTGCATAAATAAAGAACGCAGACAGTGACAGAGCGCGAGTCCGTGAGTGCCTCCTGCGAGGACGAGCGCTCTGTGACTGCCTTCGCGAGTAAAGACGACTGCAGTGTTTGCGTTTTCTAACTCAGGTGTCTTAGCTGAAGAACTGTGGGGCGATTCTTAGAAATCCCCTGTCACCAGATTATATTTAACTTGTGTTATCTACACGTGACAAATATGTAAAAAGCTAGGAAATCAAGGAGGGGGTAAATACTTTTTCACAGCACTGCAAGCCGTCTTGGTAATGCCTATGGGCAGTTGTTTTGAAGCCCCTGGAGTAAAACCTTTTTTCAGAGGTCACAGGGACATGAAAGCTGGGTAAGGCTGGGTGTGCCACCATGTTTACCTTTGCAGAATTCTCCCACAGACTTCCGTCTCTGTCAGGTCCCACTGAGCAAAGTTAATAAAGACTGGAAGAGAGTTTCTTTTTTTCTTTGTTTCCATGCTATGTTTTGACCCTTTTCTTCTGTCTGTTGCAGTTTGTTCAGGTGGTTTGGAGGCCCCTTGTGGCAAACATGGCGACTGCAACGACGGTAATCTCGGTACTGGAACATGTAGATGCCACACCGGATTCAGAGGGGAATCCTGCGAACTGTGTGTCGCTGGGTTCTATGGCCCTAACTGCACAGGTAACATGCTTTTTAGTTTTTATCATTGCTCAATGGAAAAACAAAGAGAGTGCACCTTTTGTAGATAAGGTCTGCTCTCCAACAGCTCTCCAGAAGTGGCTGTTGGAGAGACCAAACAGCCACTTCATAAATGCATGGCACAACATAGAAGAACCCCTCAATGGGACAAGACTCAGCGGTTCATCTGCATCTAAAGGACAAAGGTCACTCTTTCGAGGATGCCAATGTTCACAGGTGGTTTGAAAGAGGAGTGAAAGAAGCCATCGATGTCACCATCTTTGAACAGAGGCGGTGGCTTACGACACCAACTGTCTGCCATCTATTATCCAATTTTTAAATCCCCTCCCAGACGCCTTAACGCCCACTCACATCCTGGGCCATCTGACCTCAGGAAATCACATGATAGGGTGGGTCTAGGTTTCACAGTGGGTTCATCCGAAACCTTGGCTGACTGTGACCCACACCCGTTTTCACACCTTGGCTCGTGTGATTAGGTAGAGGATCAATAGGGGGTCCATGACCCTTTGGGGGAACACTCCCATAGGGTATAAAATCTGGGATTCTCCACCAGTTGCTCTTAGAACCCAAGAAGCTTCTCGAATGAGAGGTGAAACATCTTCAAGAAACCTAGAAAAGTCCAGACGCTTTTCTTTGCAAGCCCCTCAGACTACGATGACCTGGATGACTGAGAACCCTCACAGACTTTTGATGAGGGAGGTTTTCCTTTAATTTCTTGCTTCCAATGCTGTGTAGTGCTCACTGATGAACAAGAATATCTGGTAATGAGCCAAAGTTAGCGCGATAGGCTGATTTTCATATAAATGCTCAGTTCTTACAACGCTTTCTAGAAATAAGACGAGTAGATAATCAAAAACAATCACAAGCAACATCCATAAGTGAAGACTGACTCTGGAATGGAGGAATTCTCACTTCACAGCTTCCTCCTCCATCCTCACACCTTTTCCTCACAACTCTCCCACTTGACTGGGATGAGCTGAGGAAGGGAGGAGACATGTGAGTGTAATGAAAAGCAGCACTTGAGGCAGCAGCTCTCTACCACCTGCAGGGGGCAGTGCATAGAAATGCAAAATCTCAATCATAAATTTGGTGCACGATTTTGGTATTAAAAAAAAACAAAATATAAAAATAAGAGGAGGGTGCGTTTCAGCCCTTTGATGTATTCACCATGGCTGCGTTGTGACGATACGCTGTGGCGAAAGAAAGTAGCAAATCTGGCATCAGCAGACAATCTCACCCCCATCAGCTCTCCAGCAGTCTGTCACCATGGCAACACTCCACACTCACCATCACACAGCTGGGTGTGTTTCCAGCTCAGGACAAACCTGCCAGCTGTCTTTGCTTAGAGCCAAACCACCAGAGCAGATTTTTTGTTTTTCTTTAAATGTGGATACGAATGCTCATCTTTGCCTGTTTGAGTTTAACAGTCTTTATTAAATCCAACTCAGTGTTTCTCCACAGAGGAACACAGGTGTGTCCTCGCTTTGGAGGAGACGGCAGAGGTGTCAGTTAGAGCTGGAGTCGATTTGAAACTCTTCGTCACAGCAGGAACAAAACACGTCGCCATGGTTGCTCAATTCATCCAGAGCAGATTGAGGTCTGCAAAGAGCACTCTGCAGCTTTAGTTAAAGTGAAGCTGTTGCATAACAGCTCTTATAAAAAACAATGAAACTTTTGATGAAAAAAACAGCATTTATTTAATATTTAATTAACCTATGATTATTAATTCATGTGTGTTACAGCAATTAAAATATTAGTATTATTAACAATAATAATAATAATACTAATAATTATATCTGACAGATGTCTCTCAGCCTGAAAGATGATATATTGTATTAAAGATGGTGACAACATGAAGCTTTCCTGTCTCTGTTCTTGTGGCAGCAGAGCTGAATCAGTCTTTTGGGGAAGATGCTCCGCTGCCTCCTAGTAAGCAGTGCAGAGGGTGGCCAGGATTATCCATTATGGATAACAGCTGGTGCAGTGACCTTCTCTTACCAGCTCTGATGTTTCTCACAGCTGACTGATAGAAAATGTCCATTATGTTTCTGCACATGTTGAAGAGCCTGCTCACCCCTTCTTGTATACATCCTTCCAGTTTAGTCTGTTTTTCATGTGGATGCTCGGCTACTTGTACTCCTCCACCACATCGGCATCCTGTCCCAGGATAGACATGGGCCATGTAGCCATCCTTGATGGTAAATGGCCTGTATTTGTATAGCGCTTTACTTAGTCCCTATGGACCCCAAAGTGCTTTACACTACATTCAGTCATCCACCCATTTACACACGGGTGATGGCAAGCTACACTGTAACCACCAAATCTGACAGAGCTATGCCATTCTAACATACTGAAGACTGACTGTCAGGTAGTCAGTAATCCATGAGATGGTGGAAGTGTTCACTGATATTTTCAGGAGCTTCTCGCTCAGAAGCAGCAGCTGAATCATTTCAAATTTACTTGATAAATCATAGAAAGTATCCTCACTGTGCAGCTGTTACTCTCCAGATTGGGAGTAGGTTCTCTGCAGCATGGAGATGATTGAATCATCCACTCCCAGATTTGGTTGGTGTACAAACTGCAGAGGATCAATAGATGTTTCCACCTGTGGTCTCAGGTGAGCCAAAACTGGTGTTTCCAGTACCTTCTTCACATGCGACGTGAGAACAGCTGGTCGATAATTGTTAAGCTCTGATGGTGTCAGCTTCTCTGGTAGAGAGGATGTTATCTATAATGCTGATTTGTTCTCCTCTGTCAGACTCGGGCTGCAAATGTGACTCAGGTTCACAGACAGCTCACCACCATAGATCCTTGGAGCATAAATAAAATCAAAAGCATAATATTAAAATAAGAAATATGACAAAAAATTAGATTTATGCTGTGTGATTTATGAAGTGGACCTTATCTGCTTTTCATTTTTTATATTTTAAAAATAATGTTGCTCATATAAAACATAATCCAGATGTGAGCCCAAAGCTCAGGCTTCAGGCTGCTCTAAATGCTCATTTCACAGTTTTTTTCTACTCTTCAAGTCAAGTCTTGTTTGTCTCTCTCAGCCTGTTCCTGCAGGAACCAGGGAAGGTGCAATGATGGCATTGGAGGATCTGGACAGTGTATCTGCAAGCCGGGCTGGGAGGGCAATCGCTGCCAGAACAAAATAGGTGAGATTTCTTCTTGAATGCACAAAGATATGAGACCCTGATCGGGTTTTAATGGTCAACAAAGCTCATGAAAAGAGCCACTGGTTGGTACTGAGGTTGTAAAAATTCTAAAACATCTACAAATGTATGATTTTTGTTTATTATTTCTTAAATAAAGCTCACAATTTTTTTAAACAGATGGATACCTTGGTAACCATTAAGGCATGGTTAAATTATCCCTAAACCAAGCCCGTGGTCATTTTAAACCTTAACCAAGTTATTATAAAACAATGAATCTGAGGTGCTTTCTTTTATTTTGTCATGTATACTGTTACAGTGGTGAATATTTACTTTAAATATTTACTTTAAATTCAAAAAAGTAACTCAGTTTGGAAAACAACAAAGTTTTTTGCAGCTTTTCTTTTAAATGCAGCCAAGGCATTTTTAACCTTTGTGTGGTGTTCGTATTTTTGTTACTCAGCCAGTGTTCATGGGTCTGGTGGACCCGCTAGAGTTTTGGCTTTCCAAATTAACACTATCAAACAATTTTATGTTAAATTACTCAACAGATGTTTACTTCATCCCAATTACAAGACATATGAACAGCAAACATGGTTAATTTTTTCCC